TGACTGTATTTAATAAATTACTGAAGAGTTAAACATGGTACGATTAAGTGCACTTAATTTCGTGTAATCAAAACGTCGACGTGGAATGGAAACATTAAGACAGAAGAAATAAATGAAATATCTTCTAGAGAGCGAAGGATTAAGATTCTGTTGCTATGTACAATTATCTAGCACAGTTAATTTTGTTCAGAAGCACAACGCGCACGTTCCATTCCCTTGACGCTATTTTAAACGCAAGCGTTCGCGTTCGGTTCGCAACGGCATTCGTTTCCCTTAATTCTTTGTCATGCATAACCTCCAAGGATTTACACGGATCCTCTTTGCATGCATCTGCAATTCAGCTCTCTGGCCTGGACGCAACTCCGTTCTTGGCGCAATTCCTCAGCCCCGTTCCGGACGAAAACGTAGCCCCGCGGCCGCAAGGAATTCGCGGAAATAAAATTTCCATCGACAAATCCGATGGAGGAGCTAAACGAGGGTTAACAGAGAGGATACCGTCTCCTAAATTCCGCGACGGTATCTCTCGGCCGTCGCGCAGCCAGAAGGAATATTCGCTGGTAGCTCGGGTCTGTCGAGGTTTCGGTATCATTCCGTAACATCGTTGCAAATCGTCCGCCTTTCAAGTCGACCCCCGGCCGCCCCCTCTGAGAGGTGGGTAGGGGCGAGATTTCCAGCGCTTCACGGATGCTATCTCAGGAACCTCGAATGCCTGTCGCGCGATATTAGTTTCTCGATTCGAGAGACCGGCCGCGAAATAAGGGGTCGCCCGGAGGAAAAAGGAAAACGAAAAAAGGGAAAAAACGAGGGCGCGACGCGGGGCGAGAATGGAAGAGGTCGAAGTAGAAGGGACCGAGGAGGGTGAAGGAAAGAGATAGAGATGGGGGCGAGGAAGAGAGACGGAAGGGCGATGAAGAGAGACAGGCTCGAGGGGATGGGCGAGGGGAGGGAAATGAAAGGGGCGGCCGAAGGAAGGAAAACGGAATCTCCTGTTACGTCGAGTTTAAGATAGGGCGGACCTTTCATCCGCAAAAATGCCCCGCGGGACCCGCGTCAACGTCCTGCGAGAGAGCAACTCTCTTCGAGCAACCCCCCGACTCTGTGCCACCCTCGTTTCTCGGCCCTGCGAGCACTCGGACAGCCCGAACGACGACAAGGAGCTTTCTCTGACTAGACGTCACTCAGATTCCAACTTCCCTCCATTCTTCTGGCCCCGCCATGATTTATGGTCCCGTTAATGCAACCTACCGCAAGAATTCGTCCGATGTTACGCGGCCCGGATTAACCGGTCAACTTTGCCAATATCAAGGAATCGCTGGTACATGCTGAATCGTGGGCAGTTTTACACGCGGCTTGCAAGACTTGGATCGTTCTGTTGCATCGGACAGAGGGCAGTGGAGCCGGTTACTGAGGGCTGTCCAATCGCTGCGACTTCGGTTTGCTTTTGTGGGCATTATTTCTATTTAATATTATTATATATTATATGTTATATATTATATATTATATTGTATGTTATATGTTATATTATATATGTTACATATTATATTATATATTATATTTAATAATATTATTATATTATATTATTATATTATATTTAATATCTTATATAAGATAAATTTATATTTATCGAATGAGACATATTACATTATTTTATTATTTTATTGTGTTTAATTTCGAGCGTGTTTAATATCTGTACAGTAAATGGGATTAAAAAAAATACATGAGCAGACATGTCTGTTTTTATTACGTCGGAATATCTCAATTTTTGTGGTCTTCATTTCGTCAGCATTTTCGTTTTTCTTTTTTTACAACAAAGGCGACCAAGATATTTTGCTCGTTTCTAAATATACCGTTAAATGTTTACAAAACGTCTGTTAAAAACCGAAAGCACACGAAACAGCTGCGAAAGGTCCGACTCGAAAGTAGCACGCAACTTTTAATTAACCCCTTGTTCACAGTAGACCCATCACAGCGCCATGTTGCGTTGATCTCGCTATTCGACGACGTTAATGCGATTACGGCACGAGTGTCCTTCAAAAATTACTTACACCTACTCTAATTATTAGAAGCATTCGTTAAGATAATAAAGCTTCGGAGAAAATTGTTAAAATATACTTCGATCCATCGACTGTCAACTGAAGCTAGCTTCAAGAATTCCATAAAATTAAAGAATTCTGCATTCTTATTGATCCTAATCAAATTTAGTACACTGTATATATTAATAAAGAAATAAATATACATATAAAATTTAATGAAAGATCGTATCGATGCAATCTTCGTGAACGAAAAATTTTTTACTTCGAGAAGTACCATAATTACGCGAAAGGCTGGTAATTATTTTACGAACGCATGGTTATCAATAACCCGGTGAAAAATATCGAGGAACTTCTGCATTTTCCGGCAGTAATGAGGAAAGTCGGGTAAAAGTTGCTTACTTGAGGGACCATAAAATTTTTTGGCGTTAGCTGGCCTCTCCGAGTGCTTCGCTCTTAACGAATAAAGCCCCGGCGAAAGGTCCGCGTATAAATTACCATGCGGCCACGCGGAAGTAACGAAAAACCCAGACGAATTCTTTTTCCGCGGCTCGGTGCTGTGCAGCTTGTAAATAAATTGCTCGGTGCACCGTCGCGTGTGTTTCTGATACGCGGAAGTCGCGCGGCAAGTTGAACCTAAACGCGCGGATTCAGGCGATTTCGACGTCGCCGTAGGGGGAGTGGGACGTTCTCTCCGCAAACGCGGAAACGCCTCGCGCTCTTTCGCTATTTATGAAACTCCTAGTCGAATGAATTCCCCTCTTCCAACCGATTTAATTCTTGTTTGTTAAATTATCTCGGCGCGGCCTGGCCCGACCCAGCCCGACCCGCGGAATAGGGTCTGCAAATTGAACGAAACTTTGCTTTTGGGAGGACCGCCGTTTGCGGAGCGCTGTTTCCTCCGACTGTTTCCAATTAGGTCGTGTACACAGTGCCTGGCGATTCTTACATCTCGTATCTCATCTTCTTATACTCGTTGCAGAGTCTGCCTCATTCGCATAATGTCCGTTCTCCTGTTCCAGCGCAATGTTGTTCTCAAAATTCACTTTTACTGCAGTACGTTCGAATTTTACCGAATTTTATGGAATTTTGCTAAGATGTTTGCGATACGAAGGAATTGAAATATCATCGACCATGATAAATTTTAGTTTAGTTTCTAGTTTCAAATTCGTTGATCAAATTACTTAGATTTTGTGGGAATCTCTGGGTTTGTTCGTGGAATCGAGGATTTCTCGCTATTCGTTTGCAGTAAAAAATAGAAACTGGATTTACAACGTTCCTAAATATGCAAGATAAAACAATGCAAATTCTTTTAACTATAATTTGAAACAGTTTCTCGATTATTATAAATTTACTCGATCAATACCTTAATTTGCCCAATTCGGTCATTGTTCACATTTCTACGAAGATTTGCAATTCTGATAGACCAGAGAGCATAACAAATTTATCCAATCGTTCTCTATGAAAGTGTCTTTGTAATTTCAGCGAGATCACTTTATTGACGTTGAAAGGTGTTACTGCCACCTAACGGAATGATTTTGGCGCACTGGGATACCGCCGGCAGGCAATAATTGAACCACGATTTTATGGCGCCGCGGAAGAAGCAAGAACGGAATCTCAGGATCTCCGCGCAAGGAGAGGTCCGTTAAGGTGAATAGATTATTTAGTGCGGAGCCGAACGAATTGTTCTCGGCCAGCTCCAAATAAATAGAACTCCGTGCAATAAAAGCTTAAGCGACTAAGCTAATGTTATTGAGATGAAGCCGAAAGCCAGGGTGGGCGTGTTGGGATCCTCGACAAGGAATTGCAATGCCGCCCACTTCGCCGGAATTTAGCTTTGTTCGTTTCCTTCCCTTTGAAAAATACACCCTCGCAAATTCAATTGCGTTCATGCCTCGCGACGGCCTCGGATTATACTAACTGCACGCTGATTAATTGTTCCTACCCGCTAACCATTCAGACACCTGAGATGCACTGGGAAAATGCAACGTTGCCCTACATCTCGTTCTAATGACGTTTGCTACTTTCGCAGCGAGTTCGTCGCAAGCTCGTAGCGTTTTCGTCCATTTTCAGATAAATTTGAAAATATAGTGTTGCAATTCATTGCGCTGGTTTAAAATGTAAAATTATGAATATGAGAAAATGCATTGAGTAAAATTGTAGTTTCTGTTTTTTTATGAAAGTGACATGCCTGAGCTCTTTCTTACTGTGTAACAGTGCTTCTTCGATTAAAGTAGGTTCGCTCATTTGCTGCATCAGGATAAATATAAAATGTCTACTATCTTTCTTTTCATATCGTAATTTAATATATTTATTTATAATCCAGAATATATAACAAAATTCACACTTTTCTGTTTTAGGTAAGAGCGTCCTTAAGTAACTTCGTCTTCCAATAATTGTATAATGTATTGTTTTATGAAAATGACAATACCGAATTCGTGTGAACGTTTAATCATCTCTATTATAACATATGCTAGAATCGAGTGACTCATTCAAGCATTTCCCATGAAAGAATTATCGTAACTTCGACAATTTTCAAATGAAAAATACGAAACCATGATAGCTTCGGTGTTAAAGCATGTCGAAAAATTTCTAAATAGAAAGAAACAAATTTCTAAATAAAAAGAGGCAACATTCTAACAAAGAATAGACTTCGAAAATATACAGTACGATGAAAATGTCTGACAGTCTAAAAATTGTTGATCCAGCGATCCTCGTCGATGACATAATCCACGGGGCCCATGGCGAATAATCGACGCCGGGAGGAAGTCCGACTCGATTCTTTTATGGCGTGGCCGATCCGAGATTCGAAAGCCCGGCGAGAGACGAATGCGAATCGGCGTGGTAGCATGGAAAAGGAAATCGACTGGCGATCGGTTTATTATTCAAGACACGGGGCCCGGACGTTCCTTCCTTCAGAAGCATTCCACGATACGACAGGCGATGCCCACAGTCGAAGACAGCGCCTCATCCGAGGCGAGCGTGCGAGATAGCCGCCTCCGCGCCGGAAGTCGCGCGAGTAAGCTGGATATACTCGCCCCGAGTCACCGGGCCTTCGCTTAACCAGCCCGGCAGACAATTCCTGTTCGTCAGAGATCTTCAGAGATCGGAAACAAGAGCTTCAGCGTCTTCGGAACTTCGCAGGTAAATTTTATTTTCACCCTGGGGCCACTTCGAACCGAGAAACTTCGGATAAAATCCACCGAACACCGCTTCGACGACCGGAAGTTCGATATTCTACGTCGGTTTTTGTACGACGTCGCTTTCGTAGTTTGTTTTATATTCGATTGGTTTTACGTGCTTCCTCGAGATTTTATGGATCAGGTTTGCCAGAGCTTGCTCGTTGAAGAATGGCTGCCTTGCGCGCGTCGTGTTCTTTCTTGAATAAAGTGTACACGGTTCTTCGTGGGCGATCATTGAAAATAATCTTTCGCTCGTGAGATAACAATTGGTAAAATCACTTGGTAAAAAGCATTCGAACTAGTGACATTGATTATGTTTCTTCCATTTGCAATACTTCGATGAGTCTATCCTTTGATGGAGTCTTTTAGTAATAGATAAAAATAAATAAAAGTATGATTTAAATTAGACCGCGGTTCTTTATGCGAAATAAAAATTCGTTGAATCGATTGCATGAAAAATAAACGAAGTATAATTTTCTTTCCTCTTTAATAACTTTTTAATGAGTTAGAATCGCACCAACGTTCTTAATTCCTTTTAATCTTCTCTCTGTTTTCAGTTGCATCCACTCATATTTGCCATAAATGCATAAAAACCGCAATCTAATAATTATTATTAAGTTTTGTTAGTCGATATTTAAATATTCAAGTAAATACAGGCGCACAGCAAGTACGAGTTGTCTCCTTTTCTCTTCAAACGATTCAAGATTGCGGCGCTAGAGCAGCTAAAATTGTTCGGGCTCGAAAGTGGACGGATTTCTGGACGAGACGTTTTCTTAAGATAATTCTTTATAGTAATCGAGACAGAACGATTCTCCGATAACGATGCAGAAGGCGATTTCTATTTCCAGTCGGCCGTGTCCCCAAGGCGACCGTGCCCGTTTAGCCGGCCTCCATCCCCGGCTTTTCATTTAACGAAACACGGTCTCTTATTTGTCAGCCCGGCGAGCAAATTGCACTCTACGGCGATGACCCACCGTGAATTAATCAATAAATACGCGGGGCCAGTCCGTTAACCACCGGTAGTAGAGCTTGCTCGTAAACGATGTCTGCTAACGCGAGCTCGCGCCGCCATGTTCCACGGTGTCTATGCGCTCGGCCCGGGCACTCTCGCTCCCCATAAACTGATCATAATTCCTGCACAGCCCGGTTAATGTATAATGCATCCACCCGACCCGTCGTTAACGTTTCTTTCGCGCTGCGAACCGTCGCTGGGAGAATTGTTCGTCTCGGCGACGACGACACTTTTCGAATCATATTCCACGTTTCCGTTCCAAAAATCCTGGCCAGCAAATTTCGACCGAATTTTACAGAGTTCGTTAATAGTTTTCGAAAGTTCGAAGTTGGATGGATTCGATTATTATAGGTGACAATAGCATTAGCCATAAATTCCTCCGATGTCCAGAAAATCGTTCTTGCTCTTTACATCTTTTCCAAGTGTACGTTTTTTCGTTTGGACTGTTGGTAGCAGTGCTCTCAATGGACTTTTCGAGACACTCTTTCTAAGAAACTACCTTGACATAACCTCGACACAGAGTAAAGTCTGATCTGAAGTGATGCAACCTCTTTGCTCAACATTATCCAAACATTCTTCATTATCTCTTCCTCCTCCTCTGAATATTATTATTATTATTATTTCCTTCTCCCTAATTAGCTTTCGATTCTCTGAATCATTCCAGTATTTTTTGAATCCTCGAAATTTACCACCGATTCCTCACAGAATTTGTCTACCAGCTTTTAACGCTCCGAGATTTACCATTTATTCTTCCCGGAATTTATCCAGTATTTTCTTTTTAATCTCCGTACCACCGACTGTCCCCTAAATCTTGTCACCGGCTTCAGACTCTCTCCTAAAATTGTCCACCAGATTTCGACTGCTGCCTGAACTTTCCGAAATTTCTTTCGGCAGTGGAAGCCGTTCGAGCCGATCGAGCCGCGCAACAGGAAGCCGAAGAAAGGGGATGAAACCGGCAACGACACGATTTATCGTCCATTCGGCGGATCGTCGCGGGTCGGCGCGCTCGTCATAAAATCGGCGAACAGCGGCGCGGCGGTCAGAGAGAAAAAAAAAGGTATATGTGTCTTGGAAGTTGCCGAACGACCGATAGCGATTTGATCGTCGCCGCAGCGAGAGGACAGCTGTCGGCGAAACGCCTGGCCAAACCGAGAGAAGACGTATTACACGTGAGTAGAGGACGACAGGCAGAATGTCGGCCGTGTGTCGTATGATGCCGCGATGATGTTACACGCCGGTCCGAACGGCGAGCCGACGATTTATCGAGTTCACTCGCTCCTCGTCCTTATCGGCCGGCCAACCATACTACGGCCGCTCGTTCCGCCAGGTTTTTCGCGACGCGACGGCGGCAAATTTGTAGCGATTAACGCGAACTGCCCTTCCCAGTTCGAGCAGCTCCCCGGGCGAGATTACGTTTCTATTACGCCCCCGGAAGCTACCCACGCGGTAGAATAAATCCGTCGCCCCTGACCGGAGATTTCGAATATTCCCGGAAACTGTGCGCCCTTGTAAATCGCGGATTTTCCGCTGACACGAAGCTAATGCTCTTTACGAGAGATTCGCCGGGGCACTTTCTTTCCCGTCACTGTATACTTCTCTTGGGTCTCTCTTGACCTGATTAGCTCTTTCATTGCTGCCGCTTCTGTTCGACGGTTTCTGCAGAACCTGCAGAAGTGGCCGCCGAGCTGTAAAGTTCGTCGTAAAGATTATCCTCGCGACGCTCCTTCAATTTTTCTGTCTAGACAAGCAGGACGCTCGATAGCCACCCGAAGAAGACTCGTTCGCGCGAGCTGGAAAGATATCTCTGAAACAGAAAATATTCTTCAACAGAATAGATTCGTTCAATAGACTTAGGGCGACTTCACTCGACGTTTAACACTGGGATCGCGTGGCACGAAAAGCAAGCATTTTATATTACTTCAAAAAAAGAGAAATAATCGGAATTTATTTGGATCTCTTTCTTATTTAGATTATTCATTCAGACATCCAGCGCGATTCTTATTATACGTTCAAATGAAACAGATTTGTCGTATAAATTCCCCGCGAACGTGTCTCTGTGATATCGATGTTTATTTAAAAAAATTCGCGAAGACGACGCGAATCGAGGAGAACCGCGACGCGACAGAAATCGTTGTTGTAGAACGCGAGATTCGAGGCAGAAGTAAGATGGACGCGGTGCCGGGGGATCAAACGGCCAGCCCGGTTCCTCGGATTCGATTTTAATCTAGCCAAAAATTTGGCTGCGCTGCGGCGTGCCCGATTCCCAGCACCGCCGTCGGTTTTTGCCGGCGGCAGCCGGCACTACGTGACTGTTTCCATTCCGTTCGGTTCTCTATTTTTCTCCGGCGGCCGGCTCGGAACAAAGACAGGTCCCGGGGTAGGTACACCGAGTTTCGCCACCCCCCATCACTCTCGCCGTAGACACGTTTTCTCTCCATTCTTCGTTTTCCCTCCGCGCGGCGTGTCAGGCTCCTCCGCGCGCGGCTTCAGGAGCGGAGAGACGATCAATACGTCGCTCCAGAACGGAGAGAAGGAACGGAAGCTACGTCATTGGGAGAGAGAGCCCGCTCGTCGGCTGCGGCGTCGGGGCGAGCCGCGAGGGGTGCAGTCGCCGGATGACGGCGAGGACCCGCCGTGAACACCGGCGGAGGGGCTGGCCGAGGGAAAACGGAGGTTTTCCAGGCGATTCCTCGAGGAGAGAGGCTGAGAGCGGAGCGCGGCACAGCCCTGGCTCTAGCAACCCCGGCAGATATGCCCGGCTATGAGCGCGAAAAGATGATGAGACGAAGGGTGGCCCCTGGCTTTTACCCTCTCTCTTCCGTCCGTGATCCAGTTGACAGGGATTCCGGGCCGAGGCCGCACGATCCTGCCCGAATAGAAACGATGCCAGGGCTGTAGCCACCGGCGACCGTGTCCCAGCTGAGCTGCCAACCGAGTTCGGCCCCGAACAACCACCCGCCGACTGTTTTCTTGCTCAATTTCCGACGCTCTTCCTTTTATTTTTCTTCCTTTATTGCCCCCGCCCCCTCCTCGAGACTGGGTCTTTAACGCCGCCGTCGCTTCGGATCTTTCGTTTTCGAACCATTGAAACGCGATGCTTCCCCTTCGGGGGCAATTGTAGCGCAATTGCGGACGAAGAATTGATAAATTCTCTAGAGCAATAGCGAATTTGAAATGATTTTTTCCAGTGACCTAGTAGGAATTAGTGAAATGAAAGGGACATTTGTGGATTCTGAGATAGTTTTGTCGAAGAAAAACAAGGTGGATGAATGCGGTGGAAACTAACAAAATTAAAAGAATGATAAAGAAAGTAATGATATTAAAAGAATAAAGTAGAAACTAATGAAATTACCTGAAATACTATGTTGCTATTCTTTGTTAAAAAATATCAAATTGAAAATCCACCCCCGCCGATCTAAAATATTTTATTTTAGAATTATTAAAATCCTTATTTTTTTCTGCTTATTTGTGTTCGAGTAGTTAATTTAGCAGTAGTAAATTTAGAATAATTTAAAATAGAGAAGATATTTAGGAATTGATAAAATGAAAAGAACTTTTAAAGCCTTCTGGATAGCGCGTAGCTAACTCTGTCGAAGAGTACACGCCGACAACCAACCCCCGTCGACCTACATTCGAGTTAATTGTTCCGTTCAGCGATCCAAAATTTCGGGAAGCCCGCTGGGTAGCAGGTACCCATCGTGCTTCCAGAAGAGGAATATCGGGGGTAACCAAAGTTTTCCCGGGCAGGTAGAAAGTCGCCGTTTGCACAGGGATGAGGCACGAACGCCGAGGTGTTTAGCAATCGCATTAACACCACTCTCTGCTTAGACATGCAAGCGACAAGCCATCGCTTCTTAAACACATACCGGCATGAATCCAGTTCTCCCTCGTGTGCGCGAGGGCACGAGGGCGTAAATAATGCATGAATTCGCGCGCGAGAATTTCATAAGAAGAATTCCGGATACCTAATCACTACCTCCCCATCGCGTTACATAATACATAAGGCAACACCGCGCGCCCAGCCAGTTCTTAATTACGCGTCGGTATTCCAGTCGAAAACGAAGGAGCAACGCAACGCAACGCAAACGATATACCGTCGCCGTCTCTGTACGACAAACCTACATCCGCCATTTTTGCATCGGCGTTTGATCTTGCGAGATGGCAATCGGGCACCCTCGGGTGCAGTGTCTTGTGGATCCGCTTCCGGCTAGAAATATTAATTACGATATTCATATTCATTCGCGTATTCTTTTATGTCTCTTAGCTGTTACGATGGTAATTTTCTGTTGTATAATCGCGCAGCTGATTCGTTGAGAAGATTCGGACAGAATCTACTGGACGTGCACGCCTCGTTTGCTATAGCTTGAAATAGTATCCTCTTGGTGTAAATGGAGTTCCGATCATGCTAGCTGGTAGAGGCTGTTGATGGCTATTAGATGGACGACGAGGAGCCTTTAATCTTAGACATCTAGTTCAGCTGTTTTGTTCTGATCCCAGTTAGAGACCTCCAGTTCAGCCTTTTTGCTCTAGAGTTCCTTAGACCTCTAGTTCCGAACCACTTTTTTGTCCTAGACCTAGTTAGACCTCTAGTTCGGCTTTCTTGTCTCGACTTCTTCGGACCTCTAGTTCAACTTCCTTATTTTTGAGACTTCATTGAACCTTTAGCTGAAGTTTTTTTGTTCCGGACACCTTCGGACGTTCAGTTCAGCTTCCTTGCTCCGGACTTCTTCGGAGTTCATTCAGTTCGGCTTTCCTGTTTCAGAGCTCTTTAGGCCTCTAATTCAGCTTCCTCGTTCGAGACCTCTCTTTCCTATTCTACATTTCTTCAGACCTTTCGCCTCAACTTCCTCGTTCCATCCGCCAGTTCTTGAAGCCTCTCCATCCACGAAGTAGCAGGCACTTAGCCGAATAGACGCATTTGCATGCGCGTCCTTCGGCTTCCTCGTCGCAACCTCTCGCCGCCACTTCTAAAGCGGTCTCCGTCCGGCGAAGAAAATCGCTCTGCTCCTCTCTTTCCAAGATAGACGACGAAGCGTCTCCGTTCAAATCGTCCGCGAAACGTACGAACGAGTAGAAACGTTTCCGTGCCCGTCGTACGACCCTCTCGTCGCAACATCTTGAACAATCTTCCGCAAGCCAGCGGAGGAAAACTCTTGATTCCCGAAGCCCCATTTCTCTCTCGGACGCCTAAGTTCCTCCTCGTTCTACGTATTCCCATCGGGTTCCGCGTGGGAAAGCTCTCATTGCCCCTTCCTCCCCCGTCTCGCCCCGCCGCAGGGTGGGAAATTAAGGAGCCCCGGTCGAGAGAGAGCGTCGATTCAGTTTCGGAGACTCTGCGGAACCCGAAATTTCCAGGCGCTCTATCCCCGCTAATCCGGGCGAGCGGCATTAGGACGCGTGCGTCGCCAGGCCATGGAATAATGTGTTATCAATACTCATTTCGAAGGGGATGCTGCCGGCGCGGCGCAGAACGAGGCCGGGGGCCCCGCTCGCAGGTTCATACGTTCCTGTGCGGTGGCATCCCCCTGTCCCGTGGTGGGGGTGCGGGGGTGCGCGCGGTCCAATCATCGCAGAATCCGAGGGATGCCCCCGGGTTCGGCCGGGCAGCCGTGGGAGAGACGCCCCGCGACTCGAGGATTCGCGCTTGTCGCCGAACGCCTTCTCTCCGCTACTGGGTCCGAAAAGGACAGTCGGCCGGTGCGGTGCGGCGCGTTTCGTTTCGAAGGGCGTTGGCCCGCCGCTCTCTGGCTGCCGCGGTTCCTCTTCTTATTTCGCAACGTTCCCGCGGATTTTACGCTCTCGCCATTCTGTGCCGCAGAGACTAGTGGGAAACGGAGCATCAGTGACACAGCCAGAGACGGGACGTCGTCATCGTCTTCGTCGTCGACGTGTGGTCGTCGTCGTCGCGCGAGTCCGCAGGCCGCGCATGTATACACGCACCAGCCACGCGGTGTGTGTCCACTGACGATGACCGTGAGTTCACGCATGATTTTTGATTACCCTCGGTGTACCTGCGGCACGCATGAATCCGTTGTGCATGATTCCGGCGTCGATCCTCCCTTCCGCATGTTCTCGATATTCCGAAATATATATTCGTGCGCGCGCGCGTCCGTTTTCGCATGTGTATGTTGTGTCCTCGAGGCGGGACGGATGCTGCGAACAGTCTGAATAGTTGGCGTCCGAACGGTGCACCGGCTGCTCCGTGTTACTGAGTTTTAGAGTAGAGCAGTTTCGTGCAGCATTTTTCTTTTTTTGCCGCTTTCAACATTCACTAATCGTAACCACGTTCCTCTCAGACACCAGCTATAGTTCACCCGTGCTCTCGCAGCGTCCACGAAAAGCTGCTGCTGTAGACAGCGTGGAAGCAGGCGTCTGGAGAGAAACAGATAAGTAAACACTGTGTTATAGTTTCTATCTTTAAAAACAGCATCGATCTGGGAGCTTGACGAAGCTAGAATATTGGCCAACGGGAGTCCCGTTCCTTTCAGACGCAAATAACCATCTTGAAAGCAATCGTCTGACTAATCGTCGCTTTACTAATTCTCGGAGTAACCCTAAATTAATGAAAATTTCTTAATCTTTGAAGAAAAAATCTTAATTAAAAGATTAAAATTAGCCCTAAATCCCCAAATAGAATCGATTCGATTTAGAGCACAGAATTCGACCAGCATCAGCTTGCACCCTCTCAGACGCCAACTGCCACCCTCGCTGTCTGTCCCCAGCTTCTCCCATCTTGCGTATCGCCGGCTAACATCGGTTTTAAGTTGCGGTTTTTCGCCAGAAAAGCTTCTCGTCCGTGTCCGAACGCATGTGTAGGCTGCCAGGTGACCTTGAATGGTTAATCGCTGCTAGAATCCCGCAGCCTCGTCCCGTTTCACTCGCCTAATCGTATTCTCCGCGTGTCGATACTACGACCTGGATTCCATGAGCGTAGCAGGAACGCGCGCTCTCTCTCTCTCTCTCTCTCTCTCTCTTTCTTTCTCTCTCTTTCTCTCTCTCTGTCTCTCTCTCTCTTTCTCTTTCTCTCTCTCTCTCACACACACAAACGAGCGAACGAGCGCGCGTCACAGCCAACCCATGGAATTTCGTGAAATCGAGTGGCTTCCGCTTCGTGCACTTTCTTGCTTTGGCCCTGCCTGGCGGTGCTTGCACGCGAGCTATCCGCCTCGCCTGTTGCTCGAGCGAGTAACAAACGATCGCGCAACCGACATCCGAACGCGACGCGCCTCCGTCGCGTCCTTTCGTCTCGTTTATCGTGGGAAGACCCGTTGTTTCGGTTCTGCCATCTTGCGCGCTAGTCTCATCCCGAACGTCGCGCATCTTCCGCGTACACCGTCTTCGGCCGTCTCGAGCTCGCTCACTTGCGATTGTTTATTTATGTGAGATTGTTTGTTTCCGCACCAGTTCGCATTGATGGACTCGATCGAAGAGGAGACAAGACCCATTGGCCCTCTATCGCTGCGTGCGCCGTAGACTGTGCCGTCGCTGTTCTTTTTTCGTCGCTAGATTACACCATCATTTAAAATAGTGTGTTTCGTTCTCAGTTTCAGTATCGCACGGTAGAGCCCGTGTCTCTCAGATCGGCCGCTAAAATCGCAGAAACGTAACCCCGGTGCGCAGGACACCGCATTAATTCGCACCGCTTCCTTTAACCGTATTCCGGATGTGCATGCGAGGTCACGTCCGGTTTCGACGGAGGTTTTCCCGACGTCACGTACGCCGCCGCGACGTCCGTAACGAAATTTCTAATCCGTGCCAGCTCTGTATAGTCATGCTCGTTATTCAGACGCGTCCCGCTGCTCGCCGATCGCACGATCGTCGAACGATCGCCGCGATCACGAAATCCCTTCTGTTCGCAAGAACAAACGGCAACGTTCGAACACAAATTCTAGACTTTCCGCTAAATTAATCCGATAACTGCGAACCGAGATTTACTGAATTTTACCAAATATCGCGAAATGAACATCGTTAAATTTTACGAACTAAATTTTAGCCGTTTCGGTCGCTCTTGGATTTCCTGTGATGATATTCGATAATTAGAAATAAATAATTCCGATACGCGAACATCGCTATGAAGCAGCGAATGCGTTCGACAACAATGAAAATTCAATCTCCGNTCTCTCTCTCTCTCTTTCTTTCTCTCTCTTTCTCTCTCTCTGTCTCTCTCTCTCTTTCTCTTTCTCTCTCTCTCTCACACACACAAACGAGCGAACGAGCGCGCGTCACAGCCAACCCATGGAATTTCGTGAAATCGAGTGGCTTCCGCTTCGTGCACTTTCTTGCTTTGGCCCTGCCTGGCGGTGCTTGCACGCGAGCTATCCGCCTCGCCTGTTGCTCGAGCGAGTAACAAACGATCGCGCAACCGACATCCGAACGCGACGCGCCTCCGTCGCGTCCTTTCGTCTCGTTTATCGTGGGAAGACCCGTTGTTTCGGTTCTGCCATCTTGCGCGCTAGTCTCATCCCGAACGTCGCGCATCTTCCGCGTACACCGTCTTCGGCCGTCTCGAGCTCGCTCACTTGCGATTGTTTATTTATGTGAGATTGTTTGTTTCCGCACCAGTTCGCATTGATGGACTCGATCGAAGAGGAGACAAGACCCATTGGCCCTCTATCGCTGCGTGCGCCGTAGACTGTGCCGTCGCTGTTCTTTTTTCGTCGCTAGATTACACCATCATTTAAAATAGTGTGTTTCGTTCTCAGTTTCAGTATCGCACGGTAGAGCCCGTGTCTCTCAGATCGGCCGCTAAAATCGCAGAAACGTAACCCCGGTGCGCAGGACACCGCATTAATTCGCACCGCTTCCTTTAACCGTATTCCGGATGTGCATGCGAGGTCACGTCCGGTTTCGACGGAGGTTTTCCCGACGTCACGTACGCCGCCGCGACGTCCGTAACGAAATTTCTAATCCGTGCCAGCTCTGTATAGTCATGCTCGTTATTCAGACGCGTCCCGCTGCTCGCCGATCGCACGATCGTCGAACGATCGCCGCGATCACGAAATCCCTTCTGTTCGCAAGAACAAACGGCAACGTTCGAACACAAATTCTAGACTTTCCGCTAAATTAATCCGATAACTGCGAACCGAGATTTACTGAATTTTACCAAATATCGCGAAATGAACATCGTTAAATTTTACGAACTAAATTTTAGCCGTTTCGGTCGCTCTTGGATTTCCTGTGATGATATTCGATAATTAGAAATAAATAATTCCGATACGCGAACATCGCTATGAAGCAGCGAATGCGTTCGACAACAATGAAAATTCAATCTCCGACTGTTTCGATCTGCATGCGGTTCTTCCGAACGATGCTTTTAACGTGTCGTATGTTCTTCCTGTTGTGTACAATTGAATCTGATTCGATCGGCGACGATTAAACTCAAGAATTTGATCGACCGGCACCGATTGCGAGCGCAAATAAAAACTGAGCTTCTCTGTGTTGCAGATATCGCTACCGAAGAGACGGGCCTGCGTGGTTGCATAAGATAGGCACATTCGTGATCTACCCTGTAGATCCGGGCTTTTGTAGAATTGTAAATATCAGAAGCTCGTCTCTACAGGTATCTTACGGATGACATGCCACGCGACTCTAGATTGCAATGCATGGCGGTCGACGCGAACGTTTGTAAATCACGCCCTGTGTCGTCCCCCGAGCTTTGTTGAAAATGTCCTGTTTCACGATAAACAAACGATAAATAGAAACGAAGAACGGGCCGTTCGCCGCTTAATCGACGTTTAGAGAGTTTCTCCATGGCATAGTTGTCGATAGGTTCACCTGTGAAATGTACTTAAAACTTAGAACTAGATTGCGTTGTTTAGGAGCTTCACTATGTCCCTAGATCGTACGTAATTGTTTGTCATTGTTCATTCATCAGTTGTATTCTAGGACCTGAAATAAAATGTCGACCAAAATACGGAGTCTGCTGATTACCGCGGCGCTTTGGACTTCGCCGTTTTCTCGTACGATTGTAGCGCGAATGCGAGCGATGTATACTGTGGTGTTTTGAAATATAAAGAAACCTGCAAACGACGATGTTGTTAGATCCGAATGAATTATTTCAATCCCTGAGCCTCATAACGTAGACGAGAAATATGTTAATTTTTCTGTAATTGACGCTTAGCTTGTGCACGAAAATGGACAATCTAGGAAGAGGAGATACGATAATTCGAGAGCCTTGCGGCGTGTTTCTATAGTTACCGATTGTCAATAACTATAAAATGTAAAATTATAATCGTATTTCCTCTTCCCAAGTTGTCCATTTTTGTGCACAATCTGAGCGTCAATTAGGAAGAATTTACTGTAAGTATGAATAGATTAGATAATATAAGAATAGATAGATCGATACTGTGATAGATTCAGAGATAGTCGTTCTAGTGAGACATCGATTAGTAATTAAAATACCGAGACGCTATGCTGCTTGAATTATTTAATACCGGACGGAGAATGTTTTGAATGCGAATGCTACATTAGAATTTCAAATTTCTGCCCTGGCGGAGAATCGTCCAAACGTCTAGTGACTTTCCTCTGTCGACACAGAAGGAATCCGTGAATATAGGGGATCCGTTCAGACTGCGACGTTACCAACCGAGTTTTTTTGCAATGCATACATGTTTTTTTTAAACAATACGCCACTTCGTATTACAATATTCTCAGGAAATATCAATACACGCAGACGCGAATTAGATAAATTTTTATAATCCATAGAATTTAATGAATTCTCTGATCTCCGATGGTAATACATTTAGTTCTCAATCTGCGCCACCAGATGACAGCACTGTGCGATTTTCAGCCTAAGTTCAACCCCTAAGCAGGCTATCAACCCCTTAGGATCGCTAAACACCATTCCGCGTCACCGTCAAAACACCGTCCAAATTTTCTGCAAATAGTATTCCAATGAAAGATCACGCAGTCGTCAAAATGCACATGACAATTTTTTTAGAAAGACATTTCCATCCCCTACGTCCTAAATACTACCCTAATCGCTCGCAAACCCATCGATCCACCAACTAGAAAAATAATTGCTCAGATTTAAATCTTAATTGTTAGCCTACCAAATTTTTTCGCGTCCAACGTAATCGGCTTTTGCATGTACTATACCACCCCCTTCCTCCCCGGTAGCACGTCGCAAGATGGCAAAATCGTTCACGGTCGTCCAACAAAAACGCCACCGGAGCACGTTCACGAAAAGTCGGCTCACGATAAGCGGGATCCCGAGTGCATGGAGGCCGGAGCGTTTGATGGTGCGATAGCATGGTGGTACCCGGGGCGACGAGGTATTATATTATTGATCGTCCCTCGAGCTCTGTCCCCATCAGCTGTCGTGATCCCTGCCGTTCTCCTGGTACTACCGGGTTGCACGTTAACCTTTGTACTAGCTGCGGAACAAAAAAAAAAAACGTTTACAAGCTGGATGCATATCTGCCGTGCCCTCGCAAGGACGCGTTTTTCTTTCCACGAGCAGCCGGATAACGCTCGGTCGCGCTACCCCGTTTCCCCCAGCGTGCAACAATTTTCTACGACCTCCGCTCTCGTGTCGGAATAACTGCAGAAATCTCCGTAGCGTTTTTTATCAAAAAATCTGGGACTCGATGATGATTCAACCCTTTCAGTGCCGAACAACGACACATCGTTCCTGGCTACACTGAAAATTTCATTTGCACAGAAATTGTCCTTTTCTTAATATATTTCATTTCTTCTTGTTTTTTTTTTAGTGCTCTGATTATCAGGTTATTTTGTAATTTATTTCCGAAAGCTCACCGAACAACATCGAACAGGGTTGGTATAATTCGTTTAAATGCACACGATTCTTTTGGTCGACAATAAGAGAGTTGAATAAATCGTGCTCCTGCACTTCTACGATTCACTTTTGATTCTTTCGAACATTTTATCTTCTATATCGAAACAACTTCATCGAGAAAAGCTCTCTTTTTCATCATTAAAAAGGAAGAAGTAGCGAAGTAGCTCTTCGTGCAGTGACCAGTTCGGACAATGCTGTACAAAACAGTTAATAATAGGACCATTGTTTCACGATGCAAATGAGTTAGGCACTTATCTTTCGTACCTATTCTTATGTAACCGAGTGGGAGGGTAGTTTTCATACATTACACGAATTATTTGATTATTTCAAATGGATGCATCCTCGTTGACATTACCAGCTATCTCGGCCGCGGCAGAAGGCAAGGGCCGCTGCCGCAGATTCCGAATAAATTCCCCGGTTCCGTATGAGCCCCAGCAAACATCCACTTCCGGTAATCCAGCCGAATCTCGGCTCTGGGTTCCCGGCGGGGTCGAGGCACTCCAGAAACACGGAAGCCGGGTAAGGTCGCGCGGCATTAATCGCGCGATAATGACCGACAGATGAAGAAATATCGCTCTCCAATGACGCGCCAGTGGGTTAAGGCGAATCCCCGCCATTATGACGTGTCAGCATCCGGGGGTAATCCACGATAACCATTTATTTCAGATCCACGGACCGGAGCGAAAGGGGTGGCAGGGTGGAAGACGGGGCGAGAGGCGGAGAAAGAGAAGAGCCGCACAAATCTTCCTTCCCGTGGACAACTTGAAGAGTCTCTTCAACCTACCCACACCCCCTTCGCCACCCCCTATCTCACCCCCTGGTTTGCTCGTCTTCTTCCGAGCGGTCTGCCAGCCTCGCGAACGTAATATCCTGCCGGCTCTTCCTGGTCTTGAGTTCTCTCTCTCTCTCTCTCTCTCTCTCCCTCTCTCACTCGTTTGCTCGCTTGCTCTCTCGCTCGCTCGCTCGCTCGCTGGCTCTTTGGATAGCTCGAACCTTCTAACACGAATCTCTTCGTGTCTCCTCGAGTTCCGTCCGCTACCCCCTCTTGCGGGCCCTTCAGGGTGTCACTAATACCGCGAGGATTAATGTTACGTGGCGGGGCTTACGGGCCCACTATTAATTTCATCGGGAGAACAATATCTTACGTGCTGCCGGCGGAGTATCGGGCACGCTGCTCTTCAACTCTCTTCCTCCATCGGTCTCTCTGGGTCTCTCCCTCTCTCTCACACACACACACACTCTCTCTCTCTCTCTCTCTCTCTCTCTCTCTCTCTCTCGTTGCGTACCTGGAGCACCCCCTGACGATCTAATGCGCGGTTAGCCGGAAAAGAGATCTTATCTCCGCCCTTGGGAGCTCGGAAACGTGGCTGATTGCGCGCCGCAGGAAACGCGACCTCTACGTGCCGTGTTTTCGTCGATTTTCGGACGCTGGCGGTTGCTTCCCTCAAGGACGGAGCCTGGTTTATGGCGCTGGAATGTCAGTGATTTTTAAGAATTTTCTTCTCAACTCTTTCAACGCTTTTATCTCATATTTTCTATGAAATATTGTTATCGATTTATTATTAGATTTACTGGATATTACTAGATTTACGGAATCCGTCGAAATGACGGGTCACTAATTTTTTCATTTACGATTATTCGTATCGTAAAGACGCATTCGTAAGTTATTTATTCAATTTATACGTTACTTACGGCAAATGGTACAATAACACTTTTAACTATTTTATACGGATGATACCGAAAAATATTTCAACGCTATAGTCTTACTTTAAAAATTGTAGAAATTCGCATTTTAAAAACCATCCTATATATTCCATCAATGAACATGAAATCGAAATAATTCAGCTAATTTCGTCTCTCTAGGCAATGCTGCAAAGGTAACATAACAACTGTTTTATACATTTTGTTCATAAAATGAACTACAAAGAATGAACTAAAGCTCAGTCGAAATTAGAACAATTATCCTGCCACAATTTTCGTGAATATATCAAGTAATTCCTTTTGATCGCGTCAATGTTAATTATTATTATTGTTATTATTATTATGTCAATTATTTCCAAACATCGACGTAATAAAAACGATTCACTTGACACACTTACAAAAATTGTTCCATTCGACCAAATAAACATTTGAACGAAACTAGACAAATTATCTCGGAGGAGAGCTACGAGTTGGAACAAGTCCGAGCAAATTTCCTCCCTTATTCGCCGTACCACAGCCCCACGCGGACTAAAACATCCTTTTTCGTACAGCTCTCCGCCGTCCAATTATTCGTGGCTGTTCCGCGAAACGGAAACGAAAGCTCCGATTTCGTTTAAAGCTCGCAGCGCAGGGCGAGCAACGAAGGAAAAGGTACATAGACTATTAGAAACGCGCGGAACGCTCGGCAAACAATTACAGGCCTCACAATGCAGCGATCAGCGGCGGTCAGAATAACTGATAGATCGCATAAGCAAGGTACGCGATCAGCATGGCAGTCGCACGCAACTTCGACAGGCCGATCGGGCCTGGATCAGGGCGCGCGTCCAAATCGCTGTCTAGGCGGGGAANTCTCTCTCTCTCTCGTTGCGTACCTGGAGCACCCCCTGACGATCTAATGCGCGGTTAGCCGGAAAAGAGATCTTATCTCCGCCCTTGGGAGCTCGGAAACGTGGCTGATTGCGCGCCGCAGGAAACGCGACCTCTACGTGCCGTGTTTTCGTCGATTTTCGGACGCTGGCGGTTGCTTCCCTCAAGGACGGAGCCTGGTTTATGGCGCTGGAATGTCAGTGATTTTTAAGAATTTTCTTCTCAACTCTTTCAACGCTTTTATCTCATATTTTCTATGAAATATTGTTATCGATTTATTATTAGATTTACTGGATATTACTAGATTTACGGAATCCGTCGAAATGACGGGTCACTAATTTTTTCATTTACGATTATTCGTATCGTAAAGACGCATTCGTAAGTTATTTATTCAATTTATACGTTACTTACGGCAAATGGTACAATAACACTTTTAACTATTTTATACGGATGATACCGAAAAATATTTCAACGCTATAGTCTTACTTTAAAAATTGTAGAAATTCGCATTTTAAAAACCATCCTATATATTCCATCAATGAACATGAAATCGAAATAATTCAGCTAATTTCGTCTCTCTAGGCAATGCTGCAAAGGTAACATAACAACTGTTTTATACATTTTGTTCATAAAATGAACTACAAAGAATGAACTAAAGCTCAGTCGAAATTAGAA